AAGAAGAAAAAAAAAATAGGTATTCACTACAAAGACATCTTACTGTGTTTGTAAGGGGTGAAACTGCCACACATTCAAATTAAGTAGGAAAAAAATACAGTACACTTAAACGGCAGTGTAAATTCCCTCATTGATTTTCCATTAATAAAATCGTTAAGAGTGCATTGTTTCCACCTCTACTGACAATTTTTTTTGCTTTTGAGACAGGGTCTCAACTATGTAGTCGAGACTGACCTGGAACTTCCTATGTAGCCCAGGCTGGTCTCGAACTCACAGTGATCCTCCTGCCTCAGCCTCCCAAGTGCTGGTATTACAGGCATGTGCCACCATGCCCAGCAAGAATTCATTTTGTGGGACAGGGTCTCACTATGGAGTCCAAGCTAGCCTCAGACTCACAGCAATTCTCCTACCTCAGCCTCCCAAATGCTGAGATTACACGTGTGCACCACCACACCTGGCAAGAATTATGTATTAAACAACCAAATATAGAAGGTGCCCAATTAACAAATGGCAGTATATTTTTAGTCGTGGTCAATGCAATCTTTCCAATTAAAAAACAAAACAAAACATTATTTTAGCTTCACTGTTTTACCATGTGTAGTTACTTTCATGCCCAGATAAAAATTTTATTTCATAGGGGCTGGGGATTTAGCCTAGTGGTTCCACTGCCTGCCTCGCAAGCTGAAGGACCCAAGTTTGATCCCTGGTATGTATGTATGTATGTATAAATAAATAAATAAATAAATAAATAAAATTGTATTTCATCTCTTCATACAGATTTCTTAAAATTACAATCAATGTACCATGCAGTTAGTACATTAAAGTTTAATTATACAGGAGTTAACCAATTCAAGCACCACAAGTCATTTAAAGTCCCATTAACCTTTTAAGAAAAGTATAGCTTCCCTCACAGCCCAAGTAGCACTTTAAAACTTGCGTACATGACAGATATAAGCAGCACACAAATGACCACTCCCTTGAAAAGTGGAACTTGAGAGGCACACAGTAGCAAGAGGATGGCATTAGCATGTCGCATTGTATTAGTTAATTTTCATTTTCACTTAAGTGTCTTAAAAATAATATATGCACATATGAATTCACACACCACCCAAGAAAGAAAGCTCTGCTTCCCTCCCATTCTAAGAACAGAAATATACGATTTCCTCCTTGAAAGATCAATGATAGCATCGATCTAAATTTGGTGCATTTACTTCAGCTCGTGTCAATGGTTTCTTTGGTGTTCTTCTGGGTATGTCTGAGAATTCAGTGATTGGCAGAATAGGAGCTGCATGCTTGAAATTTCCAGTCACCCTATTGACAACCTGCCAAGATTCAAATTATTCAGACTCAGAATTATCCAAAATAACAAAGACACTTAAAAAGAAAAAGATACGCTATGGCTGTGACAATAAAAATTTAAACCAGAGCCTAGAAACAAAACACATTCAAAGCTTCACATGTGAAACCTTATAATTCTTCAAATACTTTAATAAAAAGTATCTTTACAATACTTAAAATTCTGTGCAATGAATTAAATTCATTTGTATAAGTAGCTATATTGAAAAATTGTAAAATGCAGAACTATCTCGGGAAAATCATTTAAAAACACAATGTTCAAAAACATGTTAAATTTGAGATTTGCCAAAATTTACCGCCTCCCCGTTTCCAATTAAAGGGTAATTTACAAAGAATACCACTTGTATAGTTTATGAAACATATTTACTAAGGATTCGTTGCTTGAAGCCATAATAGTTTCAGCTATGGGAGTATTCTCTGAAATTACTGCACCATCTATACGAAAATGTTGTGAAGTGTCCACCTGTTAGTTTGAAAACAAAACAAAAACAATAAATATAAAATAATCACTAAAACCCTACCAATCTGAAAACCCAATTCTGAGCAGTAAGCCTCGCATCACCCTTTTCCTTGGAGTTCTTCTTGCCCCTCGGGTGGACTCCCTAGTTAATGCCTGCAGAGGTCCGCCTTTTGAAGATCCACTTGTCCATTCAGTTTCAGTTATTCCAGGTTGTGAATAGCTCTATTCAAGCATCGACACATTAAAAAGTCATATTCTAACATCACACACCTTAACAACGGCCATATTGGCACACTACGATGCCAGACGCTCCAAATGCCAGCATTCAAACAATACTGCCTCTGCAACTATTTCTAAATATTTTGATTGAACTGACGTGTTAAGAATCAGAAAACACTAAAGGGTGGTAGAAGACACCACAGCCCAGCAATCGTAGCTCACAAATTATAATAACACAGTTAGGAGGGGAAGCGCACATTATCACAAGCTCTTTTTGTGATGCCCGGCGATTTGGTCTCTAGTATTCTAACTGCATCTCTTTGTTGAAACAAAAAGGAGACTGACTGATGATTTCAACAAAAGTCATTTGTTTAACAAGCAGTTTCCTTTTAAAACAAAAACAAACTTTTGGCTGGGGATAGAATTCAGGAGCACAGTCCTTGCCTAACATGTGCAAGGCCCTGAACTCAAACATTATTCTTTTCACGTGGTTAATTTGTTTTAGTAAAATCAGTCTGAATTATACTGAAGGAACTATCTGAATGAAGACTCCCAAGAATCAAACTCTTCTTAGACAGAATCCAAATGACATAGTGAAACACTGATCATACTTTCATCAAGTCTGCGAGCCTAGACATCACTGCGGTATCACAATGCTGCCCACAACTCACTGCAGAAACAAGGTAACCATGACGGACTTGCCTTGTAGTCTTCAAAGTGCAACCTGAAATATCAACTATTTTTTTTCTCTGAAAATAGTAACAATTCTTAGCATACTAGCTTGAAATTTCATTAAAACAATGCTTCTTAAACTGAATGTGTACTTTAGTCACCTGGAGCTTTTGTGAAAATGCAGATTTTAATTCAGAAGTTCTGGTACAGGAGCTGAGATTCTGCATTTCCAAGTGGCAAATTTTCAATTTCAAAGCCAACACTATTTATTGCCAGATAGTGAGCATTCTGAATTCTTCTACCTAGACAACACCCACCAATGCATAGTAGTATGGCATAGCATATTCCCCCCAACTCCTTTTTGAGTCTCTCTATGTAGTAGCCCAGGCTGGCCTTGAACTCACAGCGATCCTCTTGCCTCAGCCTCCTGAGTGCTGGGATTACAGGCGTGCGCCACCACACCTGGCAGTATAGCATGTTTAAATTGTCACTATTCTTTTCAAGTTAATATTTTATCTAGGTAACTTTATGTCCAAGTCAGAATCTATTTAATTTACAGACTTTTTTTTTTTTTTTACTGTCCTCTTGGGCAATAAAAATATCCATTCGGTTAGATAGAAACAGCACTACTAAAACTCCATAAAGCTATACACATAATATCATGTATCTAATTACACACCTAACTGTATTTGGAATTGAATTATAAGGTTTTACTTTTGGCTGGTGTGGTGGTACACACCTGTAATTACATCACTTTAGCAGGCTGAAGCAGGAGGATTGCAGGACCAAGCTCAGCCTGGGTAATTTAGGACTTAGCAAAATCCTGTCTTCCAAAAAAATTTTAACAAGTATTAACTTTTATTTACAGCCTGAATCTCAGGGTTACTTATCCTTCTATCAATTAAAAAATATTTGCTGAATACAAAATTGATGTTAGTCAAAAGACAAATGTGCAAACAAATCACACAACCACTTATTAATAGTCAATTTCCCGGTTACTGAAATAGAAGGAAACAATCATTTTAATCTGAGGTTCTCGACCCTGGTGGCACAATAACATCTGGGAAAAGCTTTGAAAAACTATAAAATTCCCTTGACTCTATGTTAGCCCAATGCAATCAAAATCTCTTCTAAAAGTACATGGCAGGGCTAGGCTTAGTGGGAGGGAAGGCAAGGAGTGCAAGGCCTTGGGTTCAATCCCCAATACAAATAAATAAATGCAAATTTAAGTGAGTAAGTGCAGCCAGGCACTGGTGACACATGCCTGTACTTCCAGCTATTCAGAAGACTGAGGCGGGAGAATCACAATTTCAAGCCCAGCCAGGACAAATTACCAAATCCCTGCCTGAAAATAATTTTTAAAAGGGCCAGGAATCTCACAGCTCAGTGGTAGAGCACTTACCTGACAAGTACAAAGCTATGGGTTTAATCCTCAATACCACCAAAAGAGACAAGACAGACAGACACACACACACCACTTTCAATACTATTCCCACTTAATAATTAATTGCTCGGGCTGGGGATTTGGCTCAGCAGATCGGTGGCCTGCCTCGCAAGCACAAGGACCCAAGTTCGATCCCCGGTACCAAAAAAAAAAAAACAAAAACAAAAACAACAAAATAATTAATTGCTCAATGCCAGTCAAAACAATCAGAAGTATTTTTAAAATCAACCGCGTTAGCCAGGTGTAGTGGTGCATGCCTATAATCCCACCACACTGTGATATGTTAAGGCAGGAAGATCACATATTCAAGTCAGACCTGGACAACTAGGGGAGGCCCTATTTCAAAGTAGAGGGAAGGGCTGGGGATGTAGCTCAGTAGCACCATGCCTGTCTTGCAAGTGCAAGGTCCTGAGTTTGATCCCTGGTACAAAAAAAAAAAAAAAAAAAAAAGGTTCTAAATCAAAGCAGAATGGAAAAAAATGGGCTGGGGATATAGCTCAGCACAAAGGCCTTGGATTCCAATCCCTGGTACCATACACACAAAAATCCAGCTTGACAGTCTAGTCTATTTGATATTACCAATACACACTCAGTATTTTAAAAAATCTTTACAGAAATACATTGCTTGAAAGGGCTAATGCAGTTTATCAGTCATGCAAATGATACTGCCAGATATTTACCCACAGAAGGTGAAGAGGGGAGGAGGGGAAGAGAGCCTCTTTCCTTAAACCTAGGAGTTCCAGCTTTATTTTCTATGCTTTATTTAAGTAACTAAAATAATGTGTATCAACAATTTTAACCTAGCACTTACTGAAACCATTATGACTAAAAATAAAAACAGCACATTTTAAAGGCCAAGTTCCACTTAAAGATTCTTTATTTTCTTCTGTGGAAAAAAACACAAGAAACTCATTAGTCACCTGTGGAACTAGCTCAGAACACTGTAAAACATTTTATTTTGTTCAGATTTAATAAAATCTTTGGGGCCGGGGACTTAGCTCAGCGGTTCGGTGGCCTGCCTTGCAAACGCAAGGACCCAAGTTCAATCCCCGGTACCAATAAACAAACAAACAAACAAACAAATAAATAAATAAATAAATAAATTCTTCAGTTGGGAACTACCAACCAATTTTATTAGTTGTTATCATTACCTAATTCAGAATTAATTCTAATAAAAACCTTTTACACAAGCAAAAAAGATTCTAAATAATTTTTTCTAGAATTTGTCATGTTGATAGAATTATGTATGCCTAAGTGGCATTCTTTGTGTTACATCTTGTACTCAAAAATGTAAAGGCGCTAACCCTAATTTTATAGTTAAAGTTAGTATATAAGTGATTATTTAGTTTGGGAAATGAATATTGTAACTCAGTACTATAATTATATAGTAAGGGAGCAAATTTTTTTTTTTTGGAGACAGGGTCTCACTATGTAGTTGAGACTGACCTAGAACTCACTGTGTAGCCCAGGCTGGTCTCCAACTCACAGCACAGCGATCCTCCTGCCTCAGCCTCCCAAGTGCTGGGATTACAGGGGTGTGCCACCACACCCGGCAATCAAACATTTATTGACTGAAAAGAAATTGACCAATACATAAAATAAGTCATGTGACTGCTATATGCTTTACAGCTAAAATGAAAATTGTAGCACCATTCACATCCAACAAGATGTTCTACAGAAAGTCTTGATTTGTCATGGAGACAAGAGGAAGAAATAAACCTGTCTCCACTACCATGTGATAAACTATCAAGTAACTCAGAAGACACTGAGTAACTAAGGCCACGTGAATGCAAGTGCTGAGTGATTAAAGGCTATAAATCCTCATCAAAAATTTAGGCACAATAAAAAAAAAGCCCTACACAAAACTAGGTTAAAAAAAGAATTAAGATTATTAAATGCTACCTTATTCTAAAAAGCCTTCTACCAATTCAAGTAAAAATAGGACCAATATAATTATTCATACTAACTTTAAAAATCAAAACAGCTGGGTGTATGGTACATGCCTGTAATCTCGACTACTCAGCAGCTGAGGCAGGAGGACTGCAGCTTCTAGGCTAGCAAGAACTTGTTTCTAACTAAAAAGGGCTGGGGAGATGGCTCAGTGACCTGGGCTGATTCCCAGAATCACAAGAAAAAACATTTTAGGGCCGGAGATTTAGCTCAGTGGTTTGGCTACCTGCCTGGCAAGCACAAGGTCCTGAATTAGATATGTGGTATCCCCCCAAAAAAAGAAGAAAAGAAAGAATTTTTTTTAAGTAAGCAAAAAGAACAAATAAGAACAAAATCAAATTCATACCATATTCTTTCAATAGAGAAAAGTTCTTTCATATAGCTGATTAGGATGCAAAATTCTTCAACACTTCAATCTTATGGAGAGAAATTTATTGACATCTACCCAAAAACTACAAAATGCCACTATGTTCACAACAATATACCACTGAAAACTCAAAGATCCACCACAAATGGTTGAAAAATAGTATATCCATAAACTGTAACACATAAAATACAGTTGTACAAAGCAGTGAGGAAGATGGCTATATTCTGATAAGAAGTAATCTTTAGGATCCATATTTAGGTTAAAGATAGAAAGAAATGTTCAAAGTAGGCTGCCTTTTATGTAAGGGAGACAAGCAAATACAAAATATACATGCATATGCACGTATAGTTATATTTTTAAAAATACAGGTAGAAGTCAAATTTGACTCTTTTTTCTTAACTAAAACCACATACATATTTTCAATAATGATTTAAAGATGAGGGCCAGGGATTTAGCTCAGTGGTTCTGCTGCCTGCCTTGGAAGCTCAATTGAGTTCAATCCTTGGTACCAAAAACAAACAAACAAACAAATGAGATAAAGTGCAATCCTATTACAAAACAATAAAAAATAAAACCTAACAGTACATTAAGTTATGGCTTTATGACATGAAAAAGAAAAAGAGATTCTTTCAAGTATCTTTAAGCAAAGTATTTTGACTTTATAACCTAAAGGAGGGTGGGCACCAGTCAGATTTGGTGGCACATGGTGTAATCCCAGAAGTCTAGGAAGATGAGGGTGAGGATACAGCTAAGGTGGATTCAACCCCTACTACCACCCCCAAACCCTCCAACTGTACTTTTCAATTTCATGGTTAAGAGTAATGTTATATTATGCTACAACTGATACATACATAAACAGTATCACTTAAAGAAAATACTCATCATAGGAGATACAGTCTACATTAGTAAATTTAAAATATCACTATGTGGCCAGAGATTTAGCTCAGTGGTGCCACCGCCTGTCTTGTAAGTGCAAGGTCCTGAGTTCGATTCCCAGTACAAAAAAAAAAAAAAATCACTACGTGTTCATGATTTATTTTCCTCTTTAATAGGAAGTAACTGTTCCCACTGTTTGTAACTTTACCTACTAAAAAGGCCTAAAAGCAAAGATAACCCAGTAGAAATGAATACCCAGCAAAAATAATCACTAAAGACAAATGGAATAAGACAGAAGATGGGGCTCACCTTTTGTCTGGGGGTACTGCTCAGTCACACAGCACTTACCCAGCATGCACAAGTCCCTCACTTCAATCCCCAGCACCACAAAAACAAACACACACTTATAGTGACAGTGCCCAGGATTGAACTCAGGACCTTGCGCTCCTGAGGCAGGCGGTGGCATCACTGGGCTAAATCCTTGGCCTGATGGTAACTGATCACAGATATATAAAGTCCCGGATTTAGGCAATAACCGACAGCTGTTAAAACTATTACATAAAGGGGTGTAAAACTTTGTATCAGATGGATCAATCTTACAACAATGGAACCTATGACTAATTTTAGCATTATCAGAAGGACATCCATGGGCTGGGGATTTAGCTCAGTAGCACAAGGCCCTGAGTTTGGTCGCTAAACTCTTCTATATCTTAAATTTTCTATTCTAATATCTCATGCCTGTGACATCCTAAACTGGGAATTGGACCTAGGGCCTGGTACATGTGAGGCAAGTGTTCCACCACTCAGCTGTATCCCTAGATCTTTTTATTTAGAGACAGAGCCTCACTAACTTGCCCAGGCTAACCACAAACTTGCAATCCTCTGGCCTCAGACTGCTGAACAGCTGGGATACAGGGGGGCACCACTGTACCTGGCTCCATCAAACTCATTTCTTACAAGTAGTTCTAAAGTCCAACTTCTCAGCTGTATCAAATGAAGAGGAGGCTATTGCTCAAGAAATCAAGAACATTTCGTCTGAGGATACAGAATTTTAAAGTGACAAACAGAACACGGAAAAGATACATAACGAGGGTGAGGAATAACCTCTAGGGATAGCTGTCTTGTCCTGTCAGTCAAACCAATGCTAAATTAGAGGCAATAATTTGTTTTTGGTCAAGCAGTTCATTTTATACATATCCTTAGTCTCTTGTATTTCCCTTTTTAAAAACATCATCTTGCCTCTTACATACACATATGCAAGCAAACTTTTATTTAGAGTAAAGAAAACAAAACAAAACAAAACAATGTAGTCTTAGAACCAGACTAGCTTCAGAGTTTAAGGAAAAAACACAAGAAAGGCAAAAGCAGTCAGAAATTTGTAGACAAAGAAACATATATACAACTATTTCCTTGTCTTTTTTTTTTTTAAAAAAAAGTTGTTTCAAAAGTGCTTACAGAATTGTACCTTTATAAAGCATTTCTCTCAAAAAGCAGTGTGGGGCCACAGATCGGGCTCAGGGGTTCCGCTGCCTGCCTCGCAACCACAAGGGCAAGTTCAATCCTCAGTACCAAAAAAAAAAAAGCAAGCAGCAGTGTGGTGGTACAGCTCTTTCTTGCCTAGCATACACGAGGCCCTGGGCGCCGTCCTTACCACCACAAACCAACCAACCAGGAGGAAGTATGACTGGCCTTGACTCATGCTCAGTGTGGAATAAAATCCAAGCGAGTTGTTCACCAAACACTTGCTTTTGCTGTAAATATAAACTACTCTACTGGCACAAACCCATGAAGCTGAGATTTCTTATGCCACGTAACAGTGAAATTGTTTATCGAGTATGCTGAAATCTAGATGTCCCCTATTAAAAGGTACAAGGACAAGACGGATGAGCGTTGTGAGATTACTTACACCTGTACACAGTGACCATGAAACTAGATACCTGATTGTGCTCAATTCTTCTTTGCTTGAGTGTTACTGGAGTCTTTGCTCTGCCCTTTAGTGGTTCTCTCTTCTCAAGCTTGAGCTCTATTTTAGAGTCTGGAAATAACATTGGAGAAAACATTACTCTCTGGAACACAGAAGCTGCATTTTCTGTTCATACTTTGGAACCCTGGTTTTAGGCACATTAATACAAAAAATAAACGTCTCTTGATAAGAACAACCTCAATATATCAAAAAAATTTCAACAACTTGTCTCAAAAACATTTATTTCATTCCTTTTCTCTCCCCTGCTCTTTAATCGATTGCCACTTCTTCCTACTTTTTCCTCAGACTAACAGCCTTTAACGTAAAAGCAAATTCAGTGTATACCTAAAACGTACCAATAAACTCAATGAGAAAAAAAAAAAAGCAATTTCAGTGCTCCAGGGGCAGCTTTTCACTAGATAATTTCAATGTGGGAGAATATTAAGACAGTTACCACTGTTTTGTCCATGAAGTACATCACTACTATATAAAAAGCTAGCTTATTAAAGTTTGGTATGTGGAGGGGAAAAATCAAGACAGAATTTTAGGAATGAAAAAGCCTGTCTGGTATCAAAACTCTACTAACAATGAACAGTAACTGCCAGTGTTAAGATGTGAATGCAGTAGAATAGTCACTGGTACAGCGTATGCTTAACACATGTGAGGCCCTGTGGATCAATCTGCAGCCCCAACATAGAAATAAAGTCTCTTCTTTGATGTAGTTACATAAAGCCCAGCTACAATACAACTAAGGCAAGAAGGAATATTGTTCACAGAAATGTACAACCAATCACAGGTCACTTTTCTACTTCCCCATAATAATATAACATTTCTTTGAAGATAAGCTAGTACTTTATTGCATTACTAGCTTACCATCATGATCGTCATTAAGCCAACAGAAAACTATGTATTTTTTATCCACTTCAATATTTCACGTTTCCAGTCTTGATTTTGTTACTATTTGAGGATCTACATTTCATTTTTTATTTTTATTTTGGTACCGGGGATTGAACTCGGGTCCTTGCGCTTGCAAGGCAGGCAGCGGAACCACTGAGCTACATCCCTGGCCCCGAGGATATACATGTTAAAAAACATTGGTAAGATTTTTAACATCCTCACTGTGGTGGCCGTTTATCATAGTGCAACAAACTAGTAAAATTATTACTTCTAGACCATCTACTACCAAAAATTTAAGTTAGATTATTTTTTTATCTAAAACAAAACAAAAACAAGAGATAGGTCCTAAACAAAGCTTTAGCTTTGCATGAACTCAAGGTAAATGCACTAAAAAAGTATCAAGACAGACATGCTGTCTTAAACCGGGAGTGGTGGTGCATGCCTGTAATTCCAGCACTTGGGAGGCTGAGGCAGGAGGATCGCTGTGAGTTTGAGACCAGCCTGGGCTACACAGTGAGTTCCAGGTCAGTCTCAACTACATAGTGAGACCCTATCTCAAAAAACCAAAACCAAAACCAAAAAAAGACAGCCATGTGTCTTCCCAACTTTTTACTCTGATAATAGTCAGCACAGAATGTAGTTGCAGTCCCTATTCCCTAAAGTGATTTTTACTAAATTGGTTCAAACAGTTAAATCTTTATTTAGTACTGAGCTATCAAACTCCACCCCCCATCTCCCAACATTTCTATCAATGTATCTATGTTTGGGACAACGCTTAGCATTATGAAAATCTACTTTTGTGCTTTAATTCAGAATCTGAGAAAGCATGAAGTAAAAAATGTATTAGCCAAGGAGAAAATGATTAGACAAATTAGGTATCTGGTTGAAATTAATTCCTTTTACAAAGTTAGATTCCAAGTCAGCCAATAAAAACACAGTCCTCAAATAGAAGAAAAAGCATTCAAAAGTAACTAAAACATTTTCAGTTATACCACCGGAATGTCAAGCGAGTTTCAATGATGAAATGGAAAAGGAATGTTCATCTACAAATATTCAATTTGTTGCAACTCCAAGAATAAAGCACACATACAACACGTTTCTGGAGACCACACGAAACTGTTCCAATTTAACAACTTTATTGAATTTGCAGGAGCATTCTACAGGAATACATTTTAAAAGTCACATAGCACTTAGCAGGTACGTGTGCACATGTACATTGCAGAAGACAGATAACAAATAAAATTACTTCCAGAAAGCTGCAAAGATAGAAGGTGCAGCCTATGATAATGGCTAGAGAAGCAGCCACATTTTGTTATGCTTAAGACTATTTTCCATAACGCCTCTACTACAGACTGTCTTGCCTTAACAATCATAGAAATGAAAACAGGATAATACATCGCTTTATACAAACACAGACACTCAGATATGGTATGCTTTCTTAAGTCTTTAAAACAAAAATAAGTGCAATTTGCTCTTAGCATCTAGATTATTGGTCTAAATACTCATGAAATATAACATACCTTGAAAAAAAAAAACAAAGAGGAAGAAAGGGGCCCCACCTTTTCATTGTCTAGTTCACCTAACAAAACAGAATAGTGAAGGAGTGAGCAAGCATGCAGAGAATCTATCATGCGGAGCAGTGCTCCTCAGAGTGTGGCCCATGGATTGGTACGGTCTGTGAAGTGTTAACTACCTGGCTCTGAAGAGGCCCCCACATCAAAACAGAAACCTACACACTGCTTTTGCTACCAGTAAATGTTCACTACAAAAATCAATCCTGGCAACTGGCCTAAAAAGTGCCTCTAGATAGAAATAATAATAATGTGGGGGTGCTAAGGACTGAACCAGGGCCTCTAACCCGCTGAGCTGCACCCCCACCCCTTCAGATTTCAGTTCTTGCGCACGATTATCTGCGGATGAATGAGTCTGTGGACTAGTAGTTTTGTCTGACACCACAATGTTATAGACAAAAGCAGCAAATAAAAGTGTGAAGAGTAAAGGGTGGACAAGTTCTAAACAGTGAAGATAGACATGATTAGCAGAAAGAAAAAAAAATCATTATTTTGAATATGTGTTTATTTCTATCCTAAGTACAAAGGAGCATGTGTATGGTAGTATTAAAAACAGTAAGGACTCTACTTATATTTTAGTTATTGGAATATCCTTAGTTTTGAAGAGTTGTAACACAAGTATGTGATCTATAAAGCTTATGTTTGTATCAACCTATCAAAAAGAACAGTTCTACACAGGGAATTACTTTTACACTACAATTTAATGAATAGAAGTGTAACATTTAGAAATGAGTGCAATCTGACCTTAAAAATATCTGACATTCCTACAAAAGCTCCTAAGTTTTCCACATCAAAAATAAGCCAGATGTCTTTATCTTTATTAGTGTTTATTTCCACGCTTTTTAATTATTTTGTGTACTTCTCCAAATAATGCGCCACCTTTGAAAGGAGCAACAGTCAGCTTATTCTTAGAAGCTGGACTAATTTTGCAATCCTTCAACCAGAGATGCCGGCGGCCAACAGTGGAAGATGCCATGGTACGGGCAGACACCCTCACTTCATCAAATGCAGCTTCACAAAGAAACGAAGCTGCATCGTACGTTTTGCTCAGAATCTCAAGCACCTGGGGTGTACGACTAGGATCTGAGCTAAGAATTTGTGCAGCCTGACTGATATCTGCTTGCATAGCCTTAGCTACAAAGGCGGAGTGGGTTGCAATCTGCAGTGCTGATGCTGTAGTCTCGTATGTTCTACAGAGCGCTAAGTCCAAATGTTTATCGCAAGACTCAGCGGAGGCTGGCTGAATACCTGCTGGTGGGGTGGCTTCAGAAATAAACCCCAGGATTTCATCATCTACTTTTGGAACTGATAATATTCGAGTTGCCTCCCTAGCAGAAACTGGATACTTGCATGCCAATGAAGGTAGCTGTCTGTCAATTTGCTGCCACTCCTCTTCAATTACTTTTAAAATAGATTCATGGAAAGGAAAAGATAGCTCTGAGGCCTCTATTTTATCATGCTGTGACTGGTTAGACATTTCTATGCCTAAGGCGGTAAGCGAATGAGAGATAACAGCTTTGGCAGAAGCAGACATCTGTGCAGATCCAGGTATACTCTGAAACGCCACCAAGGAGCTGGAATCCTTTCCCTCTACTGCCTTCTCACTGAGTCTAGGGGCTTTTCGTGGAGGAGACAGGGATTCGGTTTCTTCAAATTTAGATGGATCAATTCTCTTAAATATTTTTTCTATATCCAGTGCGGGTATGGGGTTAGAAGTCCCAGGCAAACTACTCACCCCACCCTGGACTAACAGAGAATTGACATAATCTCTGATTGCCTGAGCAAGCGGTGGAGAAAGCACTTGTGATCTCCTACACTCCTCTAATACTTCCCTTTCGCTGGACAGAATTGACTGATCTGAAATATTGGCCCTTTTAGTAGGTAATGGCTGAATTCCACTTTTTTCTCCACGGTAAATATTTTCTACTATGTCTTTACAATAAGTAGTAGTGGTTTCTTTAATCACTGAAGGAGAAGCTGCAGTAGAGACCATGGCAGTGAGTTCATGCTGAGAAGATGACGAAGAACTTCTCTCTAAACAACTATCAGAGCTAGACTTGGAGGAAGTAAACAGACTCCCTCCAGAGGCTAACTTCTGCATCTGCCCCTTGCCAGGCAAGCGTGTGGTCATGAGAGGCTCCCTAGGTGGGTCTCCCTTAGAAGTAGGGACTCTCTTAGCTGCCTGTAGTTCTGTCCTGCCCAAAGGAGGACGGGTGGAGATTTCAGGAAAAGAAATACCCTGAAAAAATCCACCAGAGGGAGTAGTTGGAAGTTCAGAAAAAGCAACAAAATCCCTAGTGGACTTCACTTTCTTGTGTTCTTTCTTCTTTCCTGTAGAGGCAAAAGAGGCAGGAAGTTTAAGTATTACCTGTGTTTAAGCTAATTTTATTCTTTGCCTCCTTGCTAAAATAGTGCTGTTGAAGAAAAAGACTGTATTTCATATCCTGAACCAATTCGGAAATTTTAGTATATGTGCTGCCAAAGTGAGCACAAATTTGGAAATTGCTAATGAAGTATAAGCAATTTAGATCAAATTAATCACAAAATTAACAAATCACATATGAATGAAAAGTGCTTAAGTATAAATTACATTTGTAATAACTTTAAGGAGTTATGTCATGTATTAGTCCCCAAAATAAATATCAGTCTGATTTTTAAAAAATAGTATATAAAATTATGGTTAAAATATTTTCCAAGTTTGATCCCTGGTACCAAATAAATAAATAAATAAATAAATATAATTAATTAATTAATTAAAATATTTTCCTTAAAGTTGCTGTGAAATTAGATTAACTAGCAAAAACTATATACAATTTAAATGCCTACCAGAAAAGAAAATATGGCATATTCAAACACTATCACTTTGTATAAATTATAAGAAATAAAGAGATACATATGTGACAATATTAGATCTAAAAAAATAATATGGCCTAAAAACAAATATCAGCATACAATTTATAGATTTTTTTAAAAAAGTACAAGCTAATGCCCTATATTAGATGAGTAAATAAAAAAGCAAACTTGGAAGATCACTCAAATGATATAAACAAAAACAATGTTTCGTGCCAACATTGTTTTCAATTTTACCCTCTTCATGGTCACTGTATCTTATGAATCTGAAAAAAGTTACATAGATTTGAGTGACATCATTTCAAATTTTACCTTCTTCGTTGTCACTGTATCTGTCAGAGTCATTACTTCCATTCTGCCTTGTATTTTCTGAAGAAGAAATTGTTGGTAAAGGAGTAGAAGATCTTGATTCTGTTCCTTGTTCCCTCAGTTTCAACAGCTTTTTCTCATAAAGCTTCCTGGTTGTTCCTGTATTAAGACAAAACCTGCTTTAGTATTTGCACTGTCTTATTTAAGATCCGGGTCAGAAACTATCACAGTTAAGAAGCATCACAGCCAGGTATGGTAGTGCATGCCTAACAGTAATGCTAGTAGTCCAGGAGGTTGAGGCAGGAAAATCCCAACCTTGAGGCCAGCCTAGGTAATTAATTTATCAAGATGCTGTCTCAAAAACTAAGAGTTGAAGACATAGCTTAGTGATGAGGCCCGAGCTTCAATCTCTAGTAACACACACGTGTACACCAAGCATCATATGTTTACTTTCACCCTTTCCTTTTTCTAAACTGAAGTGCTTAAAAATAATTTGTAATGTACTTTTTCTAAAACAGGTATTTCCCCAAGACTTTATTACAAGATTACAATATTTCTTGCATTTAGTTTATTTGCTTATGCTTGTGTACTAGGGGTCAAACTCAGGACCTGGCTCACGCTAGGCAGGTGCTCTACCACTAAGCCACACTCTCAACTCCCTGGTATTTCCTTTACTGAAACAGAACACCCAGTAGGCGTTAAGAGGAGGTTGCCTACTAAAGAACTATATGTGACTACTTTTTCTGCAAGTCTTCAACTTTGTATAGTTGTCTAATAACTACATAAAAATACTCGTTAATACAGAAAAATCTTTTTTATAAACAGGCTGTACTCTCTGAAGAGTGACAATGATCACATTTCACAATACTAAGGGACTAATATGCCTACAAGGAGCCAGTTATGAGGAAAAGTTCTATAAGCCACACTTAAGGAGGCTTTATTTTGTTTTATACTAGATGTGTATCCTTATTTCTGCAAAAGAAGTAAAACAAGAAGGAGATCTTTATAAACACATACTCAGAAATGTTTACATAAATGGTCTTAAGATGAAAAGTTCATATCCCGACAATAACATAGTATATATTAACATCAGTAAACATTTTTCAGTGTCTCTTTTAGAATTTTAAACACAAAAATTTAATGAAGGTATCAAATGTCTATTGGTAATTATACTCTTGGATTTAACTGTTAATCTAAATCCTTACGGTGTAACAGCCCCAAACTGCCAAATCATCAGTGATCAAAATATTGCAACTTGGAAGACTGAAATAAATTTTTCTCAAACACGAAGGCAGCATTAACTTTGCAGTTCATTGTCACTTACAAATAACCCAATGATGGAAATCTAGTGTATGTGACTCTTAAGTTTTCTTTTCAGTTTATTCTTGTATCATTTTTTTAATTACAATTTTTTAATGACTTCTCGGGATTTTGTCCCTCCTCCGCCCTTTTCTCCTTTCTTTCTTTTTTTGGATACGGGGTCTTGGTATGTAGTTTAGGTTGGTCTTGAACTCACCAGGTAGCCCAGGCTGGCCTCGAACTCATGGCAATCTTGCTCCAGCCTCCCAAGTGCAGGGATTACAGGGTTCACCACAACCATGCCCAGCCTAGAGTATCATTCTTAAAACCTTACCATAAGATACCCTTAATGATAACTGGAAAAGGCTACGATGGTAAAAGTTTGATAATCAGAATACCCTAACCATTACTGTAATTTGGATGAATTGGCCAGTTATGTTACTTAGATTTTCCTCAACTGCCATAAAAGATCCAGATGGCCTTACAGGTAGTATGTGATACCAGCAACATACAAAACAATCTCAAACAACAGGTAATTTTAACTTTTCTTTTGGTATTGGGGATTGAACTCAGAGCTTGAGCTTCTGAGGCCGGAGGCAGCACCACTGAGCTAAATCCCCAGCCCAACAAGAGATAATTAGAAAAAAAAATTAATTCAATTCTGTAATTTTATTTCCATCATTTAGAGTCAAGAAAACTAGTCTAGGTCATATAAATGGTTAATGGCAGACTGGCCCTTAGAATCCAAGTTGTGACCACCAGGCAAGAGGCAGGACAACTGTGCTTCATATACAAGATATTTGAAATTTTATCAACGTACCCACAATAGGACCAGGATTCACTCCGTATCTCACAAGCTGATCAAGAAGGTCTTCATTGGAGAGCTCTGTTACATCTAGGTCATCTCTATCTTCTATTCTTGGTTTATCAGTTTTCTTTGTGGCTTTCTGTAAACAAAGTCCAATTATCACCTCCACATAAATTTAAGTGTTCATATACAGTATTAAATAAATAACACTATATTAAATAACCTCACAACTTTGCCTACAAGTTGATTACACCAGTCCATGGCAATCTGATTAAATTAGAAGCAACTCGTTATCTGGAGGCTTTTGGAAACTAGGCTGTACAAACCTAATGAACAGGTAACCTAACGGTTACAGAAATTACTGTTCAAAGAGTCAATTTCGAATTACCCACCTAAAGTAGTGAGGCATCAAAAATCTTATGCTTATCTATTTACTGTATTTTTTAATACTTCATTACTCAAGGGATTTAACTCCTGATGGCAATAGAGACAGAACATGAAAGTTGCAAAGTGAAGCTAGAATAGCTCTAAACATTTTCATCTCAGTTTACTACTGACCTCTTTTTTTTTTTTTTTTTTTTTTTTGGTACAGGAGATGGAACTCCAGTCCTTGCGCTTCCGAGGCAGGCAGCAGAACCAACAAGCTAAATCCCCAGCCCCTCTGACCTCTTTTGATGATCCTTAAAATCTAAACTAATCCAGGAAAATTCAAGACTTACTTTACCATAAAGGCTTTTATACTTAGTTATATACAAAATGATTTACCTTAAACAGCGTATCAGAGCTTAAGAAGGCCGAATCATTACTTTCTTTGTAACTCAGATATTTTAAGAACCCATTCATAACCTCTGAAGGAAGCTTGACAGATTCATAGTTACAGTACATATCACCTCTAACACAGCTTTCATTTATATGATCATTTCGCTAGAACAGTTGAAAGAACATGGGACAAACTTTGAGGTCAGTATCAAAACAAGTTTTTGAAATAATCTGAGCAGCAGTTTTTTCCAAAGAAAACTATATAAATTATGCCAGGTATGGTGGCACATCTGACAGTCTCAGCTAATTGGGAGGCTAAAACAGGAGGACCACAAATTCAAAGACAGTCTAGGCAATTTAGCAAGACTCTATCGCAAAATAAAATAGCAGAACCCCAAGGATGTAGCTTGGTCGTGGAGTGCTTGCTAGCTACTAGCATGCGCTAGGCTCTAGGTTTGATCCTCAGAGCACTGCAAAACAAAAAACTATAAATTTCCAAAGTTAAACAGGCGAAGGCAGCCAAACTATGTGTACCTTTTAAGATTGTGGTGAATAGCTTTAATAAATCCTAGAAAGCACCATAGTGCTAAGAAACTAGTTGTTTAAATAATGGCCCAAAACATGAACCAAAGTTCATTTAGCACTGAATTACTATTTAAGGCAAGAGTTAATACTGTATCCCAGATATGTTTTATAACAAATGGTCAAAATTATACAAAGTTGTGTGAACTGATTACTTTCCAAAGAATTCTGGGTTTCCAAAATGGCATTATTTGATCATAAAGGAGAATCCCTATATTCATATTTTACTTTATTTTAGACAGGGTCTTGCTATGCACTTCAGGTTGGGTTTCAATTCTCTACATAGCCCAGGCTGGCCTTAAACTCACGGCGATCCTCCTGCCTCAGCTTCCTGAGTGCTGGGATTACAGGCACACATCACCTAACACCTAGCCCTTTATGTTTTCTTTTCTTTTTTTGGTACCAGAGATCAAACTCTGATCCTTGCACTTGCAAGGAGGGTGGCAGAACCACTGAACTAAATCCCTGCCCCCGCATATGTTTTTAACAAATAAAAATCTGAAACGGGCTTTGGGATGCAGCTCAGACACAGACTGACTGCTTGTCTTGTGTGTGCTACGGACAAGACCTGGGTTTGAATCCCAGCACAACAAAAAACATCAAAAAGTTTCATTAAGCAAGATTATGAGTTTTTTTATTTTTCGTTTGAGACAGGGCCTTGCTACATGTCTAGGCTGGCCTTAAACTCACTATGCAGCCCAGACTAGTCTCCAACTCCAACAACTCTCCTTAGTACATGTGTGTGCTGGGATTCTAGGCGTGTGCTACCACACCCAGCACAGTATTCTTTAAAACAGCTAAATAAAAATAATAAAGGCAACTCATAGTAAGTCTTTTGAAAACCTACATGCGGCACTTTAACAAAGCTGTGCTATCCATTAATTCTGTACTGTAAGTCTTTTTTTCCCCTAGTATTACAGACTGAACTCAGGCTTTTGAGCTGACACTGCCAGCCATTTTAAATTTTAGACAGCATTTTGCTAAAATGCCCAGGCTGGGCTTGAATTTGTAACCCTCAGCCTCGGTCTCCCAGAGTACTGGGATTATGACCATGCACCAGCACATCCAGCTAAGGCTCAAAGCTTAAGTCCACACTTTGATGTCAAAATAGTTGCCTAGAATCTAAGATTTCTATAGTTAAAAGCCCTGAATTTGTTAAGAAAAAAAAAAACAAAAAACCCAAAAACCAAAAAAACCACAAAGCTTAAACAGACCTAATCTTATGTGAATAATCCACTTCCCCCCCGCAGAAGTACAGATAGGCTATGGAGAAAAATTACACTATATAATGAAAATACTTCAAAACAAAAAAATCAGGTTAAAATTACTTTTAGACAAAATCTCTCCCCTGGTAAGAAAGTTCAGCTTTTACTAAGAAAACATCCAGAGCCAGGAATTTAGCTCAGTGGTGCCACCGCCTGCCTCACAAGCACTAGGACCAGAGTTCGATCCCAGAAAAGAAAAGAAAGAAAAGACAACATTCAGGAATTCTAACAGCCTTAAATTTTCAAGAAACTTTTCTCTAGCATTTACTGCAACCCACCTACTTGTATGCATGATTTATTTTCTCCAAACTCCTTGAGCAGTAACTCCAAGTCTGGCTTGATAACAAAACCTCAACTCTTTTGCTAGAGATAACTCTACTTTAAAATGCCTTAATTTTAAAGCCTTAATTTTCTGAGCCTTAATTTTGGGCCTGAGAAGCTGTATTTTTATTGGGTAGCCCGCACTGGAAAGCACAAGCACTATCATATTTTATTCAAAGCACCTAAGAGTGCCTGACACAGAACTGGGCATCTGATAAATGTTGTCAAATGGATGAATGAAAAATAAGTCACTCATTCAGCTCCCTACAGTCTCTTAAAACGTAACGAAAAACTTCAGCTGAACAAAGAAATCTCATGCAGTAAACTCACATGAGATAAATATGTTGAAAAGGTTTGCAACAGGCTGAATTTAAATTTTAAAAAGGGAGAAAAGTTTCAAAAAAGTGATGCCACTTTTATACACACCAAATTTATTAAGAACAAAAATTGGAAAACAGGTGGCTGCAGCATATACGATTAAAAGCCAGCAGTGTCAACCAGGAAGGAAACAATGGTACTGAACTCTGTCTTCAGATAGTTTTGCTCCTTTAAGAACACTACTTAATATGTGACCAGGCGCCATTTGCCAGTTTCTTCTGAGGTGCTAAATGATCTCTCATCTTTCCCCCATTCTACAAAGTGAGGCCACAGGTCTAAATGCTGCAAGGCCAACTAGGGAAAGCCGTACATAATGCTCCATGTTAACATTTGAACAGGCCTTATGCATCACTTTCTCGCATTTACCTCATCCTTTCTGAAAACGGTGTTATGGTAACTTTGCACTGTAATAAACGGCTATTACTTACTGTACTGAGCAGTAGGCATTTCACTTACCCAACCTTATGTAATCAATCTTCTATCTGATTAAGTGGCTATTAGATTATTCCTCAACTGATGTGAAAATGGAGATCTGAGAGGCAGTCAATGTTCACTATCAAAGGTCTTCCGAGAAGGCAGCAGCCCTGGAATCTGTAGCTTTCTGATTTACGATCTGCACATTTTCAAACACCTTATTACGTAGTATGGTGGTCAGTTTGTAATTTAATTAGCATTCCTCACTGCTGGCATTTTCTTACTATTCTGTCCCAAATCTGTAAACATTTCCTGTGAAGAATTCATAATCTGGCTGGAGCGGTAGGTAAAGAGCATGTGCTTAGCAAGCAGCAGGCGCTGGGTCCATAACCCCCAACACAAGACTAAACAGACAAACCCACCCACCACAGTGCATCAAGATCGTGTGAGAATGCTATATGTTCTGATGCCTCCTAAATAGCTAACTGCACCTTCACCTTTGCACTTTGGGACAAAAAGGCTGATTACCAACTCTGTAAATTATATTCTTGTGTGATTTCAGCACCTAAAAAAACCTGTACCAAAACATATAAAATAAAGCTTAACAAAAATTTAGCACACAAAATTTTGTCATACCACACAAAGACAATTTAAGAAACGGCACTTTGATGGTGGCTGCTATGAAATGACTCCTCTTTTAATTAAAAGTATTATTCCTCTAGGGGCCAAGGATTTAGCTCAGTGGTTCCGCCACCTGCCTCAAAAGCACAAGGTCCAGTGTTCGATCCCCAGTCCCACCACCACTACCCACCCCCCCACAAAACAAAACAAAACAAAACCACATCTTTAAAAGTATTCCTCAACGCCGGGCGTGGTAGGGCACTCCTGTAATCCCAGCACTTGGGAGGCTGAGGCAGGAGGATCGCTGTGCTGTGAGTTGGAGACCAGCCTAGGCTACACAGTGAGTTCTAGGTCAGTCTCAACTACATAGTGAGACCCTGTCTCAAATAACCATAAATAAATAAATAAAAGTATTCCTCAAACACACATGATAAATAGAAGGAACATGCTAAACAAACATTAAATCTTGGCCAAATTCACATTAATGCTTGTTTCAAAACCCTGAAATTCAACACTTAAAAAGTCTGCCTATCAGCAGGCATGGTGGGAAGTGGGAGCCCAGCCCAAGCAACTTAGTAAGAGTGACAGAGGGAGACACTGTCTAAAAAACAAAATTGAAGAGGGCTAGGGCTATAGTTCATTGGGAAAGCCCTAGGTATGATCCCCAGAGCCATAAGTAAAATTAAAAATTTAAATCTGCTGGGCAGGGCCTGGTGGCACACCCCTGTAATCCCAGCACTTGGGAGGCTGAGGCAGGAGGATCGCTGTGCTGTGAGTTGGAGACCAGCCTGGGCTACACAGTGAGTTCTAGGTCAGTCTCAACTACATAGTGAGA